CAATGAGCAACCTTCGAGTAAATCCGAGTACAAATAAAATATACCCCATGGAAACGTTGCAATCTCCTTTCATTTGATTAATAATATCAAACAGCATATATACCAAGTTTTTGGAGGTTGAATTTTTTAAAATGTCTAGATAGGTCTTTCAGAAACTAAATGAGAGACCATTAAGACCAAATTTCAAGTAAATCTGACCATCAATAATATATGTTCCATTTATACATTGCAACTCCTTTTCACCACTTCTCCCTCCCCCCTACAGAGATTGAATTTTTGTTATACCATTTTTAACAAATGAACGTATAGACTGATGTATTGACTGATAAATTTTCCGTTTTGCTGTCAGTTGCGTTTTGTTATTCCACGTCAGTTGCGTTTTCTTATACCATGTTTTATGTCAAGTTCAACGGGAACGGGATAAAAAAGTATCTTATGTCCGTCTCCTTGTTCTAGGGTACCTCCCCACCAATTTTCAGCCAAATCGGTTCAGCCGTTCTTGAGTTATAAATAGTGTAACTAATACGACTGTCTTATATATATATTGATTAACCTACTTAAACGGTACCTAATGGTATAAAGGAACAGAATTTATATAAAGCATTCGTAATAAGTACTAAACGTAATGCTTGAAATTTTTCCAAATGCGATAGTTACATGTTGATGTTTATTAATGTGTAGGTAGATGAATTAAAAAAATTTTGGCTTAAAAGTTTCTCTTTTGTTGCAGGGTAATTTCACAATGAAATCGTCACCAACAGTAACAGATGACTGTGACGACATTTTTGGACCACCTAGAACATACGCCAATGGATACTGTCCTCCAAAAAATCGCCCCTCTATGATTTCGGCGAAATATCGACAGAAGGAAGAGAGGAGAAAAGTGTTAAAGATAAGTATTAACAAACTTAAAAAAATTGAAGACCCCGAAGCCAGTTTATGTCGGTCTGTACTTATTAATAATACGATGAAGAGACTTCAAAAAGAAGCGCGAGACGAAAAAATCCAAAAACAACAACTCAATTATCCTAGGTGCCATGATAACGACAATTTCCTCAATATTAAGAACGAGTTCATGAAGAACGAACTTAAAAATACTCCGTCACTCGAGGAGCCACAAGATAATCTTACTTCTTCCGATTCTAAATTCATGGACAGTCTGAAGGCCGATTTTGCTATGGAAAATGAATTTGATAATAAAATAGCGGGTGACTTGAACGAGATCAGTTCGCCAGAAACGGCTAAAGGCATAGACGTCTTAAACGGTTTAGTGGAAGAGAATCTTAATAATTTGGGTATAATAGCCGGCAATAATGGTACTGTCGAACAAATGGATGATGCCGTCCAGGACGTGAACAACCGGTACCCGAAAAGATCTTACGACGACGTCGAAGACTGTGACGTCCAGGACGTGCTTTCTCAATTTTATATGCCGCCAACACCTAGAATGTTAACGTGCATCGACGACGACGAAGATGTGAATGTTGTCGACGACGAACCTCTTCCGAAGAGATTGAAAACGGAAGAGACCAATAGTTCCGTATCATCAAGCCAAAGTTTGGTAATTCCTCCGCCGCTAGTGTCCACTTCAACCCTCCTACCTAGTTCTACGTCCGCGTTCGAGCCATTCGAAAGCTCCAGACTATCATTATCTCATCATTCATCGTCCTGCTTGGAGAAGAAGCAACAGCAGGAAGATTTTCGGGTGAACGGGTTTTTGAACAATAACATTACCGAAGCCGACACCCGGCTGAGGTACATGTGCCCAGTGCAAAACTTGGATACGGACGCGAATAACGCTTTCAGTTGCGGACATGCGTCACTGTTCAACGAACTTCAGAGTAACGTGTTTCATAGTTTGATTACGTCTTTGGAAACATAGCGCATTGTAAAGCATCGACATACGGCAAACTGTAACTTGTGATAAGGCGACACGCACGTGAAATGATTGTTATGTTGTTACTACGTAAGCGCATCATTTTTAATGTCGATTACTCTTCCTGACTTGCTGAACTCTATCGCGAAAAAACTGTAAAAATTTTCATTGCGACTTTATTGGAAATCATTCGATCTCACATTTGTTAATTGAAATTTCACCAACGGCTCGTGAGTCAACTTAATTAGGGTACTTTCCCCTTCCTTCCCTATCTTCAGATTATTGATTTGATTAACGGAGATTATTATTAGCAAAAAGGTAAGTCCAATTACACAGTTACAAAGTCAGCCTTCAATTGTTTAGTACAATTTTGATTAATGGTAGGATTATTTTTTTATGAACTGCAAATCGAAAAATATGTAAAATAGACGCCATACAAACGCAGTAAGAGCCTGACCATTTTAAACATGTGAGATTACAAAAAGATTATTCTAATTTAGACCGCATATAATTTGATTAAGTGGCATTTACCTAAATACCAACTTTTTACAATAAATTGAATGACAAATCAATATCTCGATAAAATCAAATAGTGTCTTAAATATTATTATTCAAATCAATCACTGTTCACCAAAGTCATATATTTTTTATCATGTTTCATTGATGACGATGTTGAGTATCTTTTTATGAAGCTACGCGAATAGTAAAATCAAATTTCGTGGTTTATGTCCTGTCTTTAAGTTCTTAATTGTAAAGGAAAACCATGCAACCAAAATAAAATTACAGGTTTGCTAGCAATAAACTCGGATAAAAAATACGGATATAGAATAGAAGAAAGTTACTTATTTGTTGTGCAGTTAGGTGGGAGGTACTGATCATTATTACACTTAAGAACCACTGTATTTCGGGCTCATTATGCGTTTCGAAAACAATTTTAATGGCTCACATTCGTACGTACGTAAATAGAATATAGAATAAAACTTTCTAAACACTCGATCGTAATTAACGTTTTCGTTTGGTATTGTGTTCAGTTAAATTTATGTCTATTTAAACTTGTAAATGATAAAGAGATAAGTTTTACGACTACATCGTTCCTATGGAATTAACGTAATATTTATTTTATGCCTTCACTTGATTCACGGATTAATGAAATAAAGCTAAAGATTCCCAATTAAAACCTTTTCTAAGTACATACACATTTGTTTAGTTAACGACTAATTAGTACGGTAGTGGACCAAGTTTCTGCTCAATGTTGCCTTCTAGAGAAATGTTCAGGTCCTGTATTTTTACTTTTTTTTTATTGGTACCTACTAGGGACTGTTGGTAAACATGTGGCTGTATTTTAGCCACTCTTTGGCCACCTTTTTATTCTTGGAACCACCCTTCCACCTTAAAAAAATAGGTCTTCTAAACTTCAAATGAAATTAAGAACATCAAAAATACAAAAATCTTTACCCCTACAATCTTCTACTCCCTATAGGTGACTCACAAAAACCTTTTACCGAATTCCTCCCTCTTATACAGTGATATGATATGTGCTATCCTTATAGATTTGCAAACGTATTAAAGCGATTAATCTTTTTTTAATTTCTCTTCGTTTTAACGGTTTCCATTTAAACAGTAAATATTATTTCGTTGAAGCCCCACTAACCGTTAGTTTGTTGGCAACTCGTAAAAATAAAAACGAAATTCGGTTTATACCATAAGAAAGCCATTAAGTGTTTTTAATAAGCGTGTGGGCGGAATAGTGAGATAATTTTGTAAATGTAAAACGTCGAACTTGTTTTTTTTTTTAACAGTTCTGTACGGTACCTGTAGAAAAAAATTTAAAACGTTTCACCATTTTTCGGCGCACGAAAATAAATTTTCTTTTACCGTCATTTTAATTAATCGTCCATAAAAATGAGAAACAACTTTTGTTGCCGTGAGACATTAAGTGATTTTTACAGTTTTTTCGAATCACTTGTTGTTTGCAAGAAGGTGAATAAAGAGCAGAAATAAGCCTCGTTATGTTTCTGTAACAAGGAGCTTCTCTTGTTGGGGAAGGCATATTGTTTATCACATTCTTGTTTAGCAGCAAGTACAAAAAGTATCTTTCCTTCACCGTGCTCTCTATAGGTACTGGCTAGATGTCGAAAAATTAAATGTAGACATTTTCCCGACTTACTATTTTACAAAAAGAGAAAAAAAAACAAACAAAATGATAAGAGTATGCGTTCATATTTTTTTGACGAGATAAATAAACTGACGAAGCGTCTTTAGAGAGCAAACACGACTGTGATATTTTTAAATTAAAAATATTGTCTTTATGTTAGATGATTAATAATAATAATAATAATAATNCTGTAATTTTATGAGAAGAAAATTATATAATTGCAATAAATTTAATGTATTTCTTAATAATGCTTTTAGAACTACATACTTCTCTGAAGACTGTTTGTGCTATTAGAATATAAATATCGATTCGTAGTTGCATTGTGAGTAAAATAATATTGTGACTTCGTTGCTTTAAATAGAAATCCGTATACCCCATACGCATATTTCCAATGTGAGTCGTCTCAACCAACAAAACAAATTTGACAAAAAAAAAGTACTTTTTACGACATAACTTTCACCAAATTCTAAACTCCTCTGCAGTATTACGTTGATGAACCAATTAAAATAAAAAGGGGGGGGGTACTTAGGCGCGATTTAAATATGGGTGGAATATGTGGAATCCATTTTTGGAAATATGCGTTGGGTATTGATAAAAATATGGTCCTGTTTTAGACGCCATGTTAATATTCATACATATTTTTAATAAACGTTAACGGCATATCAACACTTAAAAGTCAGCCGTAGATATAATATTTTTGGATAAATATTTTGTAATTTACTTTTATATAACGACCCCAATATTTTTAATTTCGTTTTGTTAAGTTTCTCTATGGATTTGTTTATTCATATACAAAAAGCGATGATTTATGATTACTTCGTTTTTGTTAAACTTAAAACGTACGTAGTTAAAAATAATGATTTGTATATATTTATGTATGTTATAGTCCATATATTTTTTTATTTTAAGTTTTGTCATCATTTTTATTATCTAACGATAGGTAAAATGCTAAACGAGAAGTTAAATCGATGAAAATTGTTTTATTAATAGTGTCTGCTAAACACTTGGCCCTTTTGTTTTATTCTGCAATTTTTTTTTTATTTTAGCTGTGCCATGTTGTTGTGAATTGTTTTTGTTTATTTTCTGGTTTTGTTGCTAACTGCAGACAAGTTACTTTAAATCTTACAACGAAATTATTCAAAATAACGGACATCTGTTAATTAGAAAACAATTGTTGGAGAAGTAATAGTTTATTTGCGTTTGTTTTTTTAAACAGAAATAGCAACCTATCTCGTTGAAACCAAAACGAGGTAGTCACTACCAAATCTCAAAGGTTACCGAAGTAAACATAGGTTGTATAATTATATTATTTTAACATTATTATTCGATTCAATGTATTATAAATGAATTATACACTTAAATGCATTATCCAATTTTTCAGGCGATGCAATAAAGTACCTGAAAGATATTTTTTGTGCTTTATTTATAAACATTATCTTACTAACAACAAGATAAATCATCAACCATTGAAGCAATGAAATTTAGAGGTGTACAAAGTTTTTTTGCTATACAAAAAATTAAAATGTGATTGTGACCTTTTGTTCACTTGAATCAAAAACTATTTTATAATAAAAGTTCGGTTAATCAAGATCATCCGCCCCTCGTCCAAAGGTAAGTCATGGTACCTTTAATAATACATACTGTAACATTTTTCCTGTTTTCCTACAGGTAGGTACAATAAAGGGTGGTGGCTTTTAGTAGTTGATCTTCGATGTTTTAGTTGATTGTAAATACACCATAATTGTAGGCTTAAATTGATTCTTCTTTCTATCGTCTCTTGATGAAGGTGCACAGTACTGTGTGTGCCAGTTTAATAATATAAAGAACATGGGTTTCCCAGTTGATGTACGAGGTTTGTTCAAAAAGTATCGCGAATTTTGTGTTTTCAAAAATTATTTATTCATAAATATCTATTTTGTCGTTCCCTTTAAAGTAATCCCCACTAGATCTTACACACTTGTGCTAACGATTTTTCCAATCCTCGAAGCACTTCAAAAAATCATTTTTTGCGAACTTGTTCAGTTCCTCCTTCGATGCGGTCTTTATCTCCTCAATCGTAAAGTAGCGTCGTCCTTTCATGAACTTCTTCAGTTTCGGGAACAAGAAAAAGTCAGGGTGGCAAATCTGGGGAATACGGTGGCTTTGGCATTATTAGTGTGTTGTATTAGTTGTTACCATTTTGTGGCGTTTCTAAAGCTCTACAGTTGCGCGATTTTTTAAATTAAATTGATGCTTTCACACGAGAGCAGCGCTTCATAAACGTAGCGCTACAGTCGCTGAACTGTAAAAAACGGCTAAATAGTCGTGCAATTGTTGCGCTTCACTAAGAAACACATTTACTTAAGTTAAAAGCTTCCAAACTTACGTATTTTGAGTAGTGCGACAGACCGATGATGGACAATATCGACGTCGAAAATTTCGTAATTTCAAAGACTGCATTTGGAATTGCTGCAGTGCAAACGATATAAGGAAAAGCATGGGAATGTCTAAAAAACTATTCATTTCGACGTAAATCTTGGATAGATGTTTAGAAATCCTTTTATCAATCGATTGCTGTTGTAAGGATCTACCCAATATTTCCGATTCTTTATATTTTTCTTCTTTTTTTTTTTAATTCATTAGGCGCTAATAAAGTAAGTCCTCTTCGTTTTTCTTATGCGACTTCTTTTTAGTAACTGTTTCTTTACATTTGAAATTGATATGTTACTACATCGGTTACAATATTCAAGCGCTGCCAAAAATCGCTCTTTATACATACGAACTAGCAACTGTCGCGCTACTGTGGCGCAACGGAAGCTCTACAAAATGTAGCTAGTGTGAAAAAGCTTTAATTGTTAATCATAATGAGTGTGTCCAATGCTTCTGCTGCTATTATTCCTTCTAATCGGAAACGTTGATGAATTTATCGTTAGTGTGTAATAAAAGGGGGGAAGCAATTGAGAATTCACGTGACTGCATCTCAATTTTTCAGATTAATAACAATGCGTGTGTTGCTTGTTAAAAAGTGGAATTGCATCCAAACAAAACCGTATTCGCAAGGAGTTATATAGTAATTATCGGCAACTGGAGAAAAATTAATTATTCATTCTGGCGCCCGAGGGAACAAGTATAGGTGTGCAGGGTATGAGCGTTCTCAGTTCATGCATGAATTTCCGAGATAATAAGTAAGTGACAGGGGGCGGAATGTGCGTCCTTGTCGTCGGGACGCCTGTCTGCGTCGCTCCTGTGGCGCAAGAGCAGCGCTACGGTTGTTATAGAAACACTCGTAATGAGGTTTCTAAAGCAAGCTATGGCTATGGTCCTTGCGCTCTCACTCACTCTAGGTACTCATTCTCTACCTTCCCAACGATACTCCTGTGCCTTCTTTGAAATATACCATCTGCAGTCGCGGACACACTTATACATATATACCGAATAACTTTCACGTATAACACTCGGAGGTGTAGCAAATAAAATGGGGATTGGTATAATTTTGTTCCGAAACCCCTTTGTCTGATTTTATTTGCCAATACGCAATAAATATTTAATTAACAATAGTTTGTATATGTGTATATTATTTATTAAGAAGAGGGCAGCATTAAGGAAAGACATGGGGCAAAAGATTACCAGATTTAGATTGCGGATGGTATGATGGTATTAATATCTAGAAATGAAGAATTAGTGAGTTTTAAATAAAAATGAAATCAAATTACGTTGAATGCTGTCACGCAAAAAAATGATAGTCATCCTTCATCAATTGTATTCATTTGTTTATTGTAAAGTTTAGTGAGTAGACAGTTAACAAGTTAAATAATTCGAAGTGGTCTGTATTCTGTCGAAACTGCCAGACGCGGATCGCGATTTCGATCTTTTTGGATCTCATCAGCGCGTCGCAGGCAGCTCCGACAGAACACAGACCAACTTTTACCTGCTGTCTTAACAGTGCGTTTCAGAAAATACTACAAACGGCACAGTGAACGCCATCTGTAGAAAGATCGAAATCGCGATCCGCGTCTGGCAGTTTCGACAGAATACAGACCACTTCGAATTATTTTATTCGATTAAGCTAACGTGCCTATCACGTTGAGGTTGGCTACGCCGGGATTCGTTTTCAGCAAGTAGATATTCACACAAGTGGACCTTGTTGAAAAATACGTAATCCTAAAATGTAGCATCGTGCTACAGATGGCGTTCACTGTGCCGTTTGTAGTATTTTCAGTTAACAAGTTCTCCAAATGAATTTTCGTTGCTTTGAAATGAGGTAATTATTTACGACTTTAAGAACTTACACTATCAATCGCAAATGCCCCAATGGAGAAATAAATATTTTGTAATTTTTCATTAAAGTTATTTTTATGTATGATTTCTGTTTTTTAACTTAACGTACCAATTCGTGTGACATATTCATTGGTTTAATTGTACTGAACTATAGTTCATTTAAAATTTTCAAAATATTAAATATTAATTACTTCGCGTGCTTTCAAATTGTAGTAACATGATATACTTGGTTATGTAAAGTTGAATAAATTAAGTTCATGTTGTAAAAGCTTTCGTAATAACGTATTATAGTCAGGCTAAATCAAACCACTAGCTCGAAACATACCATTGTTTCCTTTGAATTAATATTAAATGTAGAGGTTTCCACGTCCTTTTAATTTATTCAGAAAACGGAAGCAGTAGCCGATAATTTCTATATCTATAAGTAATTTGTACTTTCCAAGGATGTAATTACTTTGTTCCTGTTTATTTAAACACATATTACAATTAACTTTTCTTCTTCAGATGCATGGTAAAAGGAAAGTAATTTGAAGAGCATTAATAAGCTGAAATACTAGAATTAGCAGTAAATATAAGTATACGGCGTTATATACTGCCTGTACTTTGATAAAAAGTAATTTAATTTCTTTATGTATCAATGTATTCATTTTTATTGATAGATCAATTTTTGTGGTTTTGAATGTACTCCACATGAAAAAGAAGTCTATCATCATCATCGTCATAAGACCTTCAGTCCGATGACTAGTTGAACACGCATCTCTACTTCTTCATATCTTGAGCCAATCTTTACATTTCACGAAAACTAGAGTATTCTACATCTTTATTTGCGAGCAATAATTTACCCCTCTTAATTCCTGCTTTTGCTTCTACTACGTCTCTATCTATTCCTTTGTCTGAGAAGATGTCCTACCAGTCTATCGCGCGTATACTTCTTATTGATTTCCATTAAGCTTTCTGCTCTCCTACTCTTTCTAATACCTCCTCATTTCTTACGATCCACGATCAATGAAATCAAATCAAACTTTTCTTAACGCCCACTATCTACGTGTTGCAACAGACCTCTGCTTCCGCATTGCATTCACGGAAGTTCCGCATATATTTTCGCAGCCGCTTCTGCATCTGGTTTCGCATTTTTATAACGGAAGCTTATCGGAGCTTAACAAAATCTTATTTTTCATCTTTTTGAAAATCAATATATTGGAACAATAAAACAAGCCGTAAAAATTTATTACTTTTATCTGCTGGCTGAACTTTGCCGTTTTCAAAACACTATTTAAATGGAATTGCTTATTGCAAGGCTGCATGTTGTGCAGGTGCCTTCGCCAGCTTTCAGCGACTCCTCAATAACATGTTATAGCCGGCAAAATTTTGTTAATAATACAATTGTCCCTGTGCAATTAACTATTATAATTTAGGTTCTAAATCTATTTCCTAGTATTTTGTATGTTGATATTTTCCAAATTTTATTTTCTTATTAGTGTCCCATTCTAATCTAAAAATGTCCAGGACTTTCAGCTAGTACTTGCTCAGTGGCGTCAATTTTAAGTTAAAACTTCAAGTTCTACTTAGGATTTTGTTAATAACGATGCAAGTGCTAAATGCAAAATTTGTAACAAAATATTCGCGAAAAGGGCGCACGGCCACTGCATTAAATAGTCACCTAAAATCATTACACTTCCGCAGAAATTTACTATTTACTTCTGTTTCCGTTAAGACACTTCCGTTACATCGCTATTATAGAGCCGTGCTCCAAACATACATGTATAATAATCGTTTTCGAGTTTCAAAATTAACCGATCTCGAGTGGTTTCTTTTTGTTAAAAACGACCGAACCTTGCGTTATTCTTTGTGTTACATCACCTTCCTGAGTTATTTGACTCCCTAAAGATCGAAAATCAACGACTTGTGTTAGTTTATCGTCAGTATACAATTGAAATGTAGCCATGACAATTGTTCAGCCTCTTCTCCTAATATTTACTTTTCTAAGAAGTCAGCAGCATATTTGTCAATTATTTATTTAATGTATTATTTTAAATACATATAGGTATATAATTATGTTAAAAACTGGAAATCGTCAATATCTGATATTTAAGATGTTACATAATAGGTTAGGGTAGAATTGAGAGCAATAGAAAAGGCTTTTAACAAAAA